CAGCAAGACTTCTAGTTCCTCCTTCATGAAGGATGTGCACGGCATTCTCTGACTGAATTCTGATCATAAGACATGCAGTCGTAAAGTCCACTACTGAAAGGACAGACAAATAACTTGGTCACCAGCAAAGCTCATCTACTTATATAAAAATTCTGGAACTCCAAGTTCACTGTACAGTCTGGTCAGGGAGGTATCCTAGAGACCCTGTTAGGCTCTTTTAGGACAGTGTAAGAAATGATTTACCAAATTCTAAGCCTGAGTTGTTGAGTCATCAGGCCAAAAAACAACTTGGTCCCAGGAGTCAGGTGCATTGGTAGGTATAGAGGCTGTACCTTCTTGTTCCATACAGCCAGAATGTTGAGTTGCAAAGTTCTAGAGTAGAACCGAGCAATTGGGACAGCTTCGAATAAGGAGGTTACCATCAGGATCTAGAACTCTCATGCAAAAGCAGACCTTTGCTAGGAGTGAAGACACAGGAGTTTCTCTTGAGGAAAGAAAACCCTGGACTGAGCCATATAGCCAGTATCAGACCCAGGTACTCCAAAGGTAGAGTCCATTCCAGTGACAACATCTGCAGTTCAGTTGGACCCTAAACCTAGTGGATGGACCTTCCAGCTGACATTGTCCCATATGACTGATCTTAGCAGGAGATCTAAGTATCCCACTATGGGAATGACCTGTGAGTGTAGCAAGGCCAGCGCTAGGACCTTGAACACTCAGAGTACAGAAGACAGGCCATATCATAACAAACGGAATCTGGAAAGAGGAGTATGCAAGCATCCATCCTTGATGTCGAGAGGCCAGATAGTCCTACGGATAGGCCAAATTTTTGGGATTCAATGGTTTTTTTTTTTTGCAGTCAAATGAATACACCAAGTGCCTTAAGATCTTGAATGGGGCAGATGCTTTGGAAACAATGAACAAGTTCAGGTACATACCTTTTCAGGATGGAGATCTGTCAGCCTGGATTGGTAGATATGGCAACAGGAAGCAAGAATAAAGGTTGGAAACTCCAGCTTGTAGCCCCTGGATACCACAACTTTTAACCATGCATCAGAAATGCTGGTGGTCCAGGTGTTCATAAAGGCTAACAGATGTCCCTCCATTTTGTAAAGTGCGGGTAACCCCTTACTGTTAGGAGGATTTGTCCCCAGGGTTGAAGGACATGGGAGTCCAGTATTTACAGTTCAGCTGGTCCTAGGTTTTGGCCTCAATTTAGAGAGCTGGGAGAAACAAGTGAACCTTTTTGCCTTCAGAGGTGGAATTAGTATTTCCAGTTTGGGGCTCGCATATTGTGGTTTAAGAAAAAAAACGTCCATCAAAGAGCATGCAAAGCAATTGCTTTTTACATAGTAGCCAAAATACTTGCCTACAAAACAACAGAGTCCATAGAATATTAATAGACAAGGGAGCTCATGCTGGAAAGGTGACAATGTTTACTAACCCATCAACACAATAGTGCAGTGCAGCAGACAAAATATGCAAACATTCCATAAATGATCAGTAAGAATTGCTTTCAGTTTTTTTTAGATATGTCCTTGGATCACATTCCTAGGGTTTGGAAAATTGTGATGACAATAATAGCAGGTTGCAGGGCATAAGGGAAAAAAACCTGAGAAGAGTTACAGATGCTTTTCAACTTGATTTCTAAACACAGGAATGTCCTCCACAGAACAGTCATTTTGGTTAGGCAAGAAATGGTTGAGTACACGCTTAGTGAATTCTTGTTTTGTGGGATATTGCTCGGCAAAGCATTTTAGAGAAACAATTTGTCTGGAGTATTCCATTCCCAAACATAATGAGCTTCAGTAACAAATGTAATAGAAACATTGACATTCTTAAAACTTGTAAAGGACCCTAAAATCGTAACAAAGGTGGTTTCAGACAGTTTTAAACATGGAAGTGAAATAGAATCTTCCAAGACTTGGAGGAGTTTTTTCCGCAGTCTCTTCAGGCACAAACTCACCCAAAAAGGAATAGCAAGTGAGACTCACCTGCAGCTGACTGCACCTTTGCTGCCTGAATCCAATAGATAGCATAGAAGTACACTTATGGTCTCTGCTTTCCGAGTCACTATCCTGGCAGAAATTGTGGTCATAAAATCCTCCATAGCCATAGAAAACTCCTACTTGGACAAAGCAGAAAAGGAAGCCAGGTCAGAATCTGAGTGGTGTATGGATTCAAACGGGACAACAATCTAAGCCAGTTGTCACCAAACTGTGGCATGAGTGTCAGATGCAGCCCATTGCTTGCTTTTATCTGGCCCTTGGGGAATTATTCCTCTGCCACCAACAATGCAGCACCATTCCTCCCCCTGCTACCAACGATGGGGCACTATTCCTCCCACTGACACCAATGATGGGGCACTATTCCTCCCACTGACACCAATGATGGGGCACTGTTTCTCCCCCAATACAAGAAATGAGGCATGGTTTATTGCCACTGACACCAGGACATTTTTTTAGTCTTGTTGGCCACAGTCCAGCTCCCCTAAAGTATGAAGGACAGTAAACTGGCTCTTAGCTCAGATCAGGGTTCTCCAAACTTTCTAAACAACGGGTGTCAGGTCCTCTAGGAATAATGCTCCCGGCCACCCCAGGAGGTGTTAGAGGAGCCTTCTGGACAACTTCCTTTGTCCTTATTGTACCACAGTATTTTAGATACTAAAGCACAAAGCCAACACACAGCCAGAGCACCCATGGTACTCACAACCAATATGGCCCAATGTGAAAAGTCACTATAAAAGCGGCAGCCAGGACTAACTGAGGTAGATCTGTGACTCTCTTGTGAGGAGAGCAGTCGTGGAAAACTAATTCACATTGAAAAGGCAGGAAGTGGCAGTGTGAGGGGCACTTGGGATGCAGTAATTCATTCTCCAGGGTGTTAACTCTTCCAAGGAATAACAGGAGAAAACTGTGATAATGTGATATGCTCTAACAGGGACAAGTCCCAGACTTACCAATGTGGTAATCCTGAAAAGCATACTGCAGCTATCAAGCACAGTAAGCAGTGGACGGTGCCACATGTAGAACCCATTGAACATGCAACATTGCAGGCAATCTTAATCTCTAGTATGGGCATATTCCCTAGCGAGTCTGCAGGGATAAGGATAATACCAGAGGCTTTGTTACAGCCCTGGACCTGCAAAGCACACAAATTGTCTGGGGAGTGCAACAAGCAGAGCCCTGTGCCCAAGGATCACATTGCAGGTTAGAAATGCAATCTTCAGTCCAGGGGGTTCTGGGTATGGCCTTTAAGGCAGTGCAGAGGATCAGTCTATCTGGATAGCTGCATAACGAGTACTATCTCAGCAGCACAAGGAAGAAGTTTGAAGAAGATGAAAAAAAAAAAAAAAAAACAAAAATAAGTAGGAATGTTTAGAACAAATGGGTATACTTCTCTCCAAAAAGAGAGGAAAAAAAAAACAAACAAAAAAAAAAACACGATCTTGAATGGACACTAGCAAAACTGAAGCATAATGGAAGGCTATACTTTTGTTTACTAGTGCCCAACTCCTAGTAAAAGCAGCACAATATCCTAAGGTTCCTGTGTGCCTTGAACAATCAGAAATATAAAATAGCATTAAATCCACATAACCCTCAAGGTATGAAATGGTTCATACACATATTTGCATATAGCAAAATGGTTTAGGATTTCTACCCATTTATGTTCTAGATTTAAAAGGTAACTCCACATTTGTGGGGAAAATAAAATATAGCATATACAATTGCTACACAAGCCATATTGTAATTGATTAAAAAATGACTTTTCCATTTCAATCTGCAGTGCTGTAATTTTCTGTAAAATTCAATGCAATATGGCTAACTGGAGGCGTTCTATACACAGTTATATAGAATGACGCCCCCCCCCCCCCCCCCCCCCGAAGTCATTTCCTGCTTGTGCGATTGCCTAATGATTTCCCAAAAGTCTGCACTAAAATGCAAGTCATTTTAGATGAGATATTACCAAAGGGTTATTCACGTTTAAAGAGATTCAGACTGCAATTTCCCGCATTAGAACCCTGCAAGTGCATCAGCTGATTGCTAATGACCATCACGCCCATTCAGACTCACTTTGCGTATCAACATAGACAAAAACACACAGATATTTCTTCACAGCAATAAAACACAGGAATCTGCAGCAAAGTTTGTTCAAATCCTTGCAATGTACATAGATCACCCAGAGGGGATTGTTTTTCTCTCAACAAAAGTGGAGTTCTTTAAGTCCAACTGAAGTCTTACACGTTTTCTATTGGTCCTTGTAGGTTTTTTGATTTTGTTTATTTTCACTTGGAAATTCCCCAAGATACCTTTGTTGAGGAAATACACTTCCTGCCCTCCTACTCCAGTAGTCTATGCTGGCAGAGATGAGAACTGGTTACAGCTCTCATGAGCATCCTCACTGATTACGAACAGTCATTAAAAGCAAGGATTTTATTGAACCAGATTAATTAGATAGCAGACATCTGCATTGTCAAACTCTGTTGCGTTTTGGAGAGTTAGATTTAGACATATTATATAAAATGATTTTGCAGGAAAATTAAGGGAATTCTTAAAAAGTGGAAGCTCTTAGCATAATATTTGACAGAATATCTGTTTCTGTGACTTCATTTGGACTTGAGTGAAAGCTTTTCACAAGCAATCCTTTACCATAGCAAAAGGATTTGCAGCAAATAGCGTTCTCATTCAAGGGACTACACTTTGATTCTGTACACCAGGCCAATGGAGATTTAACAAAATTGTACATGGGCTCAGAGTTTATTGAGCAGCCTTATCCCTATACTTTCCCAAAGTCCTGCAAGGCCGATAAAAATATATCAAAACATAAAGATGGCTTTATGGAGTCTACACAGGCTGTGTTCAATAGGTATGTATTTTGCATACAGAAGGATGTTACAAATGAAATTGTTTTGAATAAAATTTTGGGGCAAAATATATATAATGGTTAACACCAGTTTGCTTTTGATGTGTTCAGATTTTTTTTTTGTAGTTAAATGTTTGTTAATCTTCTGCTTTTGCTTCCATTTCATCTGCATCGTCATCTCCATCCACTTCTGCATTTTCCTTTTCCAGCCGCTCCAACTGTCTGGCAAGCTCTGTTTCATCTGTGTCTGTAACAACCTTGGGCTAAAAATGAAAGTTGTGTTTTAGTGTGACACATCATTAAGAAACTGCAGTACTAAATGTTTAGTTAATTGGCACAGTACTATACCTCTATCAAAGGGGTATAAGAGGAAGAATGCTAGTTCCCCGGGGATGAAGCACTGGCTTCACTGCTGGACAAAATATGGAAATAAAGCATTCCAACAATAAAAATCCTCCTGCGCTCAATGGAATCCCTAAAAAGGTCAGAAAGGCACTAACACTCAACCTGATACCCCAACAGTAGATACTCAATAATAAAAATAGTGCAGCGCTAACTATATAACATCATGATGAGAAGAAATATAAAAAACTCTGATTAATGATAATAATCGCAATAATCACACATCCAATGGTGCAATAGGGTGACCCAATCATGAGATCATAACATGGAATGAATGATATCCTGACGAAGTCACGTGACGGTGACGCAACGCATCGATACGCGGTGACGCAGCATCCGGTAGCGGTGACGTACTTCCGGTACGGCCGCCATTTTTGTACACCTTGAGTCTATCTTAATTACCCATGCAGTACACCCATACATCCCTATGGAGTTGTGGATTGCTTTTTAGCATGTGAGTTGCTTATTGTTTTACCTTAATAAAAGCACATAGTTTTGTGGCATATTACGCTATGAGAGATTCTTCCTGTGTTTATATCATCCGGGTGAGAGGTATATCCTGCTGAGACCAAGAGCCAGTCTATCCTGAATCTACCTTACCGGATGAGAGGTCCATAGGAAAGCAGGTGGTGATATCTGTCATTGTGTGGATCAAGATCCAGAGTGATCTTAAAGGCGTGTAGGTCCTTTTGGGCCGCAGAGTGGAGGTGAGGGGGCAATTTAGCCACAGGAGGATTATCACTCACCATCATCACTTGAAGTGTATTGTGTGATCACTTGCATTATTTTTATCGCATGGAGTGGAGCACCATTATCTTATGTATGGACTTTTTTTCACTTGTGATACTGATTTAATGCTCACTATTCACATTAGTGAGTGGGATTGGGGTCACGTCTAGTCTACTGTGATTCATTCCATCTTATGATCTCATGATTGGGTCACCCTATTGCACCATTGGAAGTGTGATTTTTATATTGTGATTATTATCATTAATCAGTTTTACATTTCTTCTCATCGTGATGTTATATAGTTAGCGCTGCACTATTTCTATTATAAAGCATTCTAACAATCATTTTTTTAGGAGGGCAGGAATGGCAGACTCCATACTTCCCTCATGGGAGCTGTCAACGAAAATCACTAATGCTATAAAAACATTTATTTTGAGAGTGGAGTAAAGAAGTCAGTTTATTCTCATGCACTATTTTCACCCAATGTCCACAATCTATTTCAAAGCTTTGTTTATGTCAAAGCACTTTTGTATGTCTGATGTGCAATACTTAGTGTAGCATTTTAAAGTCTGAAACTATAGATGAGCAACTTTTTCAGCCAAATACAAGTCAACCTTAACTGGGATTATTTCAAGTAAATATTTCCCTCTCTCAAATCACCAGTCGGCAATAAAGTAAGGGTGTGATTACAACCTCTCAATGTGGAAAGGTTCAACAAAGTTTAGGGTAGATAGATATATTACATAATGACCTGATGGGCAACAAGCTCAATTTTGTCCCATCACACTACAAAACCATTTTCCAGCTACCTTCACAGTCTATCAAGTGCTTTCTAGCAATTTGTAAGAGACAGACACCACTCGCTTCCTTTTGCCATTCTCACATAAAGCTGCAACTGGTTAAGCACTCTGGCAAAAGCGGACATATACAGGTGAAACTCGAAAAATTAGAATATTGTGCAAAAGTTCATTTATTTCAGTAAAGCAACTTAAAAGGTGAAATATATGAGATAGACTCATTACATGCAAAGCAAGATAGTTCAAGCCGTGATTTGTCATAATTGTGATGATTATGGCTTACAGCTCATGAAAACCCCAAATCCACAATCTCAGAAAATTAGAATATTGTGAAAGGTGCAATATTCTCAGCTCAAAGTGTCCCACTCTAATCAGCTAATTAAGCCATAACACCTACAAAGGGTTCCTGAGCCTTTAAATGGTCTCTCAGTCTGGTTCAGTAGGAATCAGAATCATGGGAAAGACTGCTGACCTGACAGTTGTGCAGAAAACCATCACTGACACCCTCCATAAGGAGGAAAAGCCTCAACAGGTAATTGCAAAAGAAGTTGGATGTTCCAAAAGTGCTGTATCAAAGCACATTAATAGAAAGTTATGTGGAAGGGAAAAGTGTGGAAGAAAAAGGTGCACAAGCAGCAGGGATGACCGCAGCCTGGAGAGGATTGTCAAGAAAAGGCCATTCAAAAGTGTTGGGGACTTTCACAAGGAGTGGACTGAGGCTGAAGTCAGTGCATCAAGAGCCACCACACACAGACGGATACTGGACATGGGCTTCAAATGTCGTATTCCTCGTCAAGCCACTCCTGAACAACAAACAACGTCAGAAGCGTCTTACCTGGGCTAAAGAAAAACAGACCTGGTCTGTTGCTCAGTGGTCCAAAGTCCTCTTTTCTGATGAGAGCAACTTTTGCATCTCATTTGGAAACCAAGGAGCCAGAGTATGGAGGAAGAATGGAAAGGCACACACTGCAAGATGCTTGAAGTCCAGTGTGAGGTTTCCACAGTCTGTGTTGATTTGGGGAGCCATGTCATCTGCTGGTGTTGGTCCACTGTGCTTCATTAAGTCCAGGGTCAACGCAGCCGTCTACCAGGAGATTGTGGAGCACTTCATGCTTCCTTCCGCAGACGAGCTTTATGGGGATGCTGACTTCATTTTCCAGCAGGACTTGGCACCTGCCCACACTGCCAAAAGCACCAAAACCTGGTTCAAAGATCGTAGGATTACTGTGCTTGATTGGCCAAGCAAACTCACCTGACCTGAACCCCATAGAGAATCTATGGGGCATTGCCAAGAGAAAGATGAGAGACATGAGACTGAACAATGCAGAAGAGCTGAAGGCCGCTATTGAAGCATCCTGGCCTTCCATAACACCTCAGCAGTGCCACAGGCTGATAGCTTCCATGCCACGCCACATTGAGGCAGTAATTGCTGCAAAAGGGGCCCAAACCAACTACTGGGTACATATGCATGCTTATACTTTTCAGAGGTCCGATATTGTTCTATGTACAATCCTTGTTTTATTGATTGCATGTAATATTCTCATTTTCTGAGATTGTGGATTTGGGGTTTTCATGAGCTGTAAGCCATAATCATCACAAGTATGACAAATCACGGCTTGAACTATCTTGCTTTGCATGTAATGAGTCTCTCTCATATATTAGTTTCACCTTTTAAGTTGCATTACTGAAATAAATGAACTTTTGCATGATATTAAAATTTTTCGAGTTTCACCTGTATATAGTCTCTCCAATCTCAGCCACTGAGGCCTGTAACTCAATTACAGTGGTCTCTACTTGATGGGCTCCCTTGTCTGCTGCCTGAAAGGTTACATGAAAATGTCCAAGAGGTGAATATATTTATAGATTCTGTACATTTCTATCTATACATTTTAAAATTTGCTTATATGGCAAATTTTGGTGCTAATCCAAGGCTTCACCTTTTGCGAATGTATGAATCAATAAATTTACAGTACACCATACCTCCATCTGGACATTAAATACACCTCTCTTCTCCTCGATTCTCTCTTTGATTACGGACATTGCTTGATTAAGCACAGAAAGACCTTCCGTCCTTTCCAAAGTTGTTGTGGTCATCACATATCGAGGTGGAGCAATCAAATTTATCTAAACAGTATAAAAACACACAGTGTTAAAAAATACAGTCTGATGACCTCATTAACCTTACCAAAATCCACAACCACAGCTTAAAATTTAAAGTAAAGAGCATATTGGTTCAGTACTATATGTAACCCAAACTGTGTGCTGCAATGCTAGAAGGAAAGATCCATAAGCCACACATCAAAGGCAGACCCATGTGCATGAGGTGAGATAAATGGCAGCCTGAGCCAGGCCACACCCCCACATTTCACCCCACCCCTTGGAGCTTAATCATTGGGAGCAAACCTATGTGCTTCATGTTTGAAGATTCTGGGCACAGCCTACAGCTTGATGTCACAATTTAACCTGTTTAAAAAAACGACAGCTGCAATCTGCTGCCTGAATGCGATGGGGAAAACCGTAAGCAAATAAAAAAATATAAAATGAGCATCAGCTTTTTTTCCCGGTTTTCAGCAGTACTGGAAGAGGAGAAATACGATGTATAAACAGCCAAATTATGTAAACAAAAAAACAAAAAAAAAAGTAAAGTCCGTGTTTAACTGCACAGCATTCTATGGAAAAACACAGCAGAACAGTAACATATAGAGCACAACTACATAACAGAAATATGACCTACAATGAAGAATGTTTTTATATGAAGGACAGGCTTACCTTTATTGGCATATTTTCTGTTGAACATTTAAGTCCTGCTCTTAGTGCATCTTTCACTGCATCAATGCCTTCATACCCATAGCAAGCCACTTCGATATCTGATACACACAAAAAACAGAAATTTAGTATTTTCGGCCTGATAAACTAAGATTGGTGCTTTTTAGGGAATGTGAATTTTCACACATTTTGTCAAACAATAATTTTGTGACTTGCACCATAATCCTCTTAGTTCACATTTTGCACATCTCTATTGCATCAAATATTGAAATACTTCTTTTCTGTACTATTATTTATTTGGCGCAGATTGTGAGATTTTTTTTTTGTGTGAATTCACGCTACAAAAGTTTTTGTAAGATGTTCTGCACTTTGGATTTTTTGAGAGGCTTCTGTGAAAAACATTGCACTTGGGTTTTTTTTTTTTTTTTTAATAATTGGCAAACTATTATTTGGCACACATTAAAAAAAAAAATCAGGTTGGTTTAGTGATCATCACCCCTGCTTTTAAGCACTAGCGTAATCCGTTCAAGTCACAACTATGACACAACCAGCATGAAGTTTACATGTTCTTAGGTTTGTCAGATTTCCTTCAGGTAGTCCAGTTTCCTCCTACACACCTAAGACATACTGGTAGATTAACTGGCTTCTGTCTAAATTGGTCCTAGCATGTGGACACATACACATAGATGGGTTACGTACTCTAATGCCAAATCCATTCACAGGAAAGAATAGAAATGCATTGTATGTGCAGGGCTCAGATTATCCTAAAGGAAAGGCTGTACAGTATTGAGCAGGGATGTAGAGTACAGATCTCAGAAATGGGGCTGTAGACAAGCATTTAACCACAGGGAATTCACCATTTGACATCCTTTAACCGCTTCCCGTCCGCCCTATAGCAGAAATACTGCTACAGGGTGGCACGGGTGCGCAAAATCACGTGATATAAAATATGTGCGCCCTACCCACGCCACCATTTGCGGACGTCAATCACCGGGCCCCAGCCAGTAATTACTCGCCGGTGCCTGGTGATTTCCAGCGATCACCGATGGGGAGGAGGACTGTTTTGTTTACTAACAGTCCTCCTGTCAGCTGGGGCACACTGCTCTGGAATGGCTGTGCACAGCACAGCCATCCAGAGCAGTGTGATTAAAGTGAAACACACGCACACCACCCCCTAGTAAAACACTCCCAGCACACAGTTAACCCTTTGATCGCCCCTCATGTTAACCCCTTCCTGCCCAGTGCCATTTGTACAGTGTCAGTGCTTTTTTTTTTTTTAGCATTGATCACTGTATTGGTGTCACTGGGGATGTCAGTGACACCAAGTCAGTTCCCCCCTGTGTCAGTATGTCCACCGCAGTCCTGCAATAAGTCGCTATTCACCGACATTACTAGTAAAAATGAAAAAAATCCCAGTATACATACCACCATTTTTTAAATGGTGCCATAATTCCTCCTATACAAGTTTTACTGACAGTGTGTGAGAGCTGACTGGAGGAAAGGGATACGTCCCCCTCCCCACACTGCACAGGAACAAAGGAACATGCAGAGCTGTGTTGTGAGTAGACAAGCTGTGTGCTAAGCTCTCTTCCCCCATCACCATTTTATCTTGGGTGTGGGGAAAACTTTTCAGAAGTGACACATGCCGATAACAGAAATGAAGCACCAGAAAGAAAATGACACTTGAAGCTCTGGAGAAAGGACACAAACACTGCAGATATATGTGCTTTGCTCCAATTTCATGACTGAGGTTTACAACCACTTTAACTGGCAATTACTTGCTCATGCAACACTGTACCCAAATTAAATGTATATCATTTTTTTTTCACACAAATAGAGCTTTGTTTTGGCAGTGAACCAGCAAACACAAATGCTCCTGCGCTTGGGTATGGACTCGATGCAGGCTACAACCACATTAAGAATGTCCTGGAACATGCACACCTTGCTGCCCTCAAATAGACCGGGGGAATCCAAATATACTGAATGAGGAAAGAACAAACAGAGGGTGCAGAGGCCTAGTGCATTTCCATAAGAAATGTTTAATAAGAAATGAAATAGGTGTTGTACTCACAAACGACAATAAAGTCTCTGAGACTCTGAGGAAGAGGCAAGTCCTCGAAACGCGTCAGCCTATTGGATGTCTACACTCACTATTGCGGACTGTTACTCAGTACGGTGTTGACCCAGCTGTTCTTTTGATGTGCCTTGCCTTTATTGTCGTTTGTGAGTACAACACCTATTTCATTTCTTATTAAAAATTTTTATGTTAGGCCTGTGCGCCCTTTGTTTGTTCCTTCCTCATTTTGTTTTGGCAGTATTTGATCACCACCGGGTTTAATTTTTTTTATTACATGAAAAAAAAAATTCCACTAAGTGTATAATAACTGGTTTGATCGTTATCACATCTACAAATGTCAGCATACATACACACATTAAAATTTTGCTGGTATGATGCTATACTGGTAATGGAGGTGATCAGTGATTTATAATGGAACAGTGATAGTTTGGCAGGCAATCTGGTGCCAACAGAACCTCGCGGGGAGGTACACTGACACTAATGCTATACAACACTGTACTAATGGCACTGGCTGGGAAGGGGTTAACAAAGGGGGTAATCAAAGTGTTAACTGTATGCCCAACAAGTGTAATATATGCTTTTACTTTGTAGGGAGATGAAACAGCCAGATCACTGATCTGTGTACAGAGCCCTGTGTGTTTGTAACAGGGCTCTGTGCTGTGATTGTCTACAGCCAATCAGGTCTCCGCTATAAATCATTGGGTGGGACCTGCTGACAAAATCCTTCTGTAGCCAGTGACAGCACAGATCAATGGGGGCACTCACACACATGCCCCTAATCTGGAACAGGCTGGATCACGTATAGATCCGTACATGATCCAGCCTGCCCATGCAGTAAATGTACTGTGGGTGGCAGGAACTGGTTAAAATACATGGTGCAGTTTGTAAAAAAAAAAAAAATTTTTAGATGCAAATGCAATATTTATACGTCTTTTCTGTCACCTATCAAGGCTGGCTGAAAAATTCCCAATGTTTACATTCCCACTTCCTGGCTTATTTTTTTTTTTTTCCCAAAAAACAAAGTTTATTGAAAACAAGATACAAATGATCACACGAAAATGTACAGATGAAGTGTACATAGGACATACAGCAAAGCATGTATCATACAAAGGCAAAAGAGGTCCAACGCAAAACCAACAGTGTGGATGAACTAGGCCACGACAGGGTTGTGCCTGTAATATTCAGGTATGCTTGTCAAGTGCTAAAAAGAAAGAGACGTTTGGCCTCCTACCATATTGTCTTGCGGTAAAAATCTGTAGGGGGGAGACGAGCAAATACGATGCCTAAGTAGAAGTCAATACTACAGAATACGATGATGGAATTGTGCGAATGTAGGAGTAATTGTCGTGGGAACCGCTGACGAATTGCGGGAGGTGATGCTGACCACCTACTCAATGTTCTATTGGAAAAATTGTCCGAAACGTTAGTAAGCATATGAAAAGAAAAGAAAAGAGAAGGCGAGAAAAAAGGGAAAGAAAGAGAAAGGGAAAGAAAGAGAGAGAGAAAAAAAAAAAAAAAAAAGGGGGGGGGGGGGAAGGGAGGAAGGGAAGCAAATATGGAGGGTAAAATAAGAGAGGGGACAACCGTCAAAAATACCTTATCCTCAATACAAACAGTAACGGGAGTGGGTGGAATCTACGCTTTCATCGGCGTCGAAAGAATGCGCGTGGAACACAGGGGGGAGTATGATGGCACCCTCAGGTCAAATACTACTAAATAACACTATCGAGAAGTCCAAATCAGATTCAGACGGGCTGATCCATGAGGGATCGATACTCCGGGGTAGTCAGAAAATGGGTCCAACAGGCCCATACGTGAGAGAATTTCGTAGGAGTGTCGAGAGCAGTCGCAACCAGTTCTTCCATGTCCGCCGTTTTACCCACTCGGGTGAGCCATTCACGTATAGAGGGAGAATGAGTGGAGCCCCACAGAACCGGAATACAGAGTCTGGCTGCGTTGATCATGTGCATGGCTAATGATTTAAAGTACTGAGCCCTGGGAAGGGAAGAATGATGGAGGAGGAATTGAGCAGGAGAGAGAGCTAAGGGTAAGGTACTTATAGACACTACTAACCTATGGACCTCCTGCCAAAATGGTTGAAGAATCGGGCAAGACCACCAAATGTGAAGAAAGGACCCATCCGGGGTCCCGCATCTCCAGCAGCTGTTGGGGAAGGCGGGGTTAAAATGATGAATTCTTGAGGGAGTTCGGTACCATCTAGAGGCTATTTTGTAGCTGTTTTCTTGTGTCGAGACATTGAGGGAACATTTATGAGAGTATTGGAAGACCAGGTCCCAGTCTGAGTCCGACAGCTCAGCATTAAGATCTCTCTTCCAAGCCCGACATGCGGGGAGGGAGTCATAAGACCGGCTCTCCACTAGAAGTGGGTAGATCTCCGAGATCAGATGTTTCCGCGGTTCAGCCTTCGCGCATGCAGATTCAAATGGGGTAAGAGAGCGATGCCAGTTATGAGGGGGTTTATGAGAGAGCAGATAATGTCTGATCTGGAAATATACCCAGAAAGGGAATTCGCGAATACCCAGGCTTTCTTGCAATTCTCGGAGTGTTTTCACCTTGCCCTTGTGGAGAAAATGTTTCACTAAGATCTGTTCGTGTGGCCAGTGTTTCATTAAAAAGTCTTTATGCATTCCAGGGGGAAAGTCAGGGTTGAGGCGTATGGGGGTCAGGGGGTTGGGTGTGCCAGAAATGGCTGCAGATCTACAAGCCGAACGGAAAATTTTTAACGTAGGTCCCACCAAAGGATGGGTGAGAAGAACTTGTGGCGTGTGTTTCGGCGAAAGCCAAGGAATCGATGCCAGGGGGAAGGGCGAGCAAGCATTCTCTATAAATCAAAGAAAAAAGTGAGCGCTTAAATGGACAAGCAGCTGAAACACACAGGACAACCAAAAGAATTCCTCACATGAATATAAATATAAAGTGCAGCGCTATAATAAGGTAAATAGATAAATTGATGAATAAAATTAATAAGTACGTCAAAAAAAGGGGGGAAAAGCCCCAGGTCAA